TCCTCTTCCTTCTCCTCCTCCTCCTCCTCCTCATCCTCATCCTCATCCTTCTTCTTTTTCTTCTTCTTCTTTTTTGGTTTTTCGAGACAGGGTTTCTCTGTGTAGCTCTCGCTGTCCTGGAACTCACTCTGTAGACCAGGCTGGCCTCAAACTCAGAAATCTGCCTGCCTCTGCCTCCCAAGTGCTGGGATTAAAGGCATTCACAACCCCTGCCCAGCCTATTATCTTTAGAGAATATTTACATTTTCTTTTTGACTAGACTGCCATCTGGGTCCTCCAGTGTGTCTGTATCACCTAAGGGCCTATCTGACTTTTCCAAGACCATGTCTCTTGCTGACCAGAAGTCTGAGACATCCTGCTTCAGAGATAGTTCAAAAGTGCTTTTCTGGAAAACTGGAGCCAAGATCAAACTTCAGTCACAGCTTTACATTGTAGTTGTTTTATTGGCAAACAAAATAAAGAATGGTTTTTTTTTTAAGTGCAGAGACTGACAAGCCTAAAGGCCCAGGATCTATGCAGTCTTTGCTTCTAATGTGCATCTCCTGATTTCTGGCACCTTATGTTGTTGGCCAGGATGTGCAATTTGGACACCATTAAGTCTGTATGTATAGTACTTGCTGAAGAAGTTAACTAGAGCCCATCAATTCTTCTGTCTTCTAGACCAGGTGACTTCTGTGTTCTCTCCAGTTCCAGCAATCCCACTTCCTATATCTTTTTGTGACACACATGATTGTACTTCTGTTACATTCATTTAATAATGAAACAACACAATAAGTGTTTAGTGTACATGAAGGACTACTCCAAACTATGGTAAATCATTATGTTGTGATAAATTTCTACAACAGAAAATGTTTGACAAAGTAACAAATCAGTACCCAGAGCACTTTTAAGGCAATTCTATGTAACCAGAAACCATTGATCCATACATGGTGTTAATTCACATATACCCATAACCCTCATTAAGTTTTTGAAACTACAATACTCTAATACATATTAGAATTTTCAAAATGGACTCGGTCAGAGAAGATACACCCAGCCCTCAAGAGACTGGAGGTTTCAGGAATTGGGGAGGTCTGCTTAGGTGGTAGTGGGGAGTGGGAACATCCTTGTGGAAATGGGGAGAGGAGGTATAGATGTGGAACAGTCAGAGGGTAGACTGGGATGGGAACAAAATATGGACTGTAAAAAAGATTAGATTAAAAATTTAAAAAAAGATAAAAAAAAAAAGAAAAAGAATCCATGGTCACACTGCAATTTCCACTTTTCCATAAAGCAGTGTTTTTCTCCTAAGTATCATTTACATGTATCTAATTTGAATAAACTTCTTTTGTCCACTCAGATTTTTATACCCAAAGAAACACACAGAGAGATAAATTAATGATTATGAGTAGCATTGCATACCTTTGTAAATTACCTGACTTAAGTTATCAAGTTAAGAAGGAAGGGAAGAGCAAGGAAAAAAATGAGAGAAGGAAGAAAGGAAAAGAACCAGGAAGAAAGAAAGAAGAAAGAAAGGGAGGAAAGAGAAGGATGGAGGAAGGAAAGATGGGAAGTTGGAAGGAACAGAATGAAAGATGGAGAGAAGTGGGAGAAAGGGAAGGGAAGCATCATGGGAAAGAAATAAGAGGAAGAAAGTAGAAAACAAAAAACAGAAAAGAGAAAAGAGAATAACAGAGAGAAGTGAAAGGAAAACAATTTCAGTATTGGCACTGAATACTCTGACTTTATCCTCTGACTTCTATGAGTATTAGTTCAGCCAATCACATACTTTTCCTCAGTTGGCCTCATTTCTTATGTCTCATAGAATAGTTATATCCACTACATGCAATGATTGGGTTTTAAGGTAACTGTTATTTTGAACAGTGCTGATATCATCTCAACATGACTGAAAAGCCCCTCCATGGTAAAACAAGAGGAAGACTTGTAATGTATAATTCCTATGGCATATCACCCACTCTGAGGCCCAGGGAACAACATGGATGAAAGGATGGAAACCTGGGGGAGCTATAGAATCAGGGAGGTGTGCTAATAGTGTCTCCTAGCTAGAATGTGGCTATCGCCATCATGAACACACAGAATCTGTGACTGCCTGTGAAAGACTCATACAAAATAGACATGAAAATGAGTGGGGACAAGTTGGAAAGAAGAGATGTTGGTGAAAGTATACATGTGAGAAGTTACTATGAAAGTGGAAAATGACCACCTTGCATTGTATGCAATCAAGAAACTCTAAAAGTCATACCAGAATTTTCACAATCAATCCATACAAACATCCTTTCTACTACTGCTTGTGGGTATCTAAGAGACACCACACAAGTGTCTGTTATACTTCATTAACACTTCATTAGCGTGCTTTCCTCTACTCATGTGAGACCAGGTTCAGCAAGAAGAATCAGGACAGCATCAATCCTTACGTGTACCTGCCCTTTGGGAATGGACCCAGGAACTGCATTGGCATGAGGTTTGCTCTCATGAGCATGAAAGTTGCTCTTGTCAGAGTCCTGCAGAACTTCTCCTTCCAACCTTGTAAGGAAACTCAGGTTAGTGTGAATTTTCAGTAAGTTATGTTTTTACGGGAGTTTTGCTTTTTAAATCGGGGTATTGATTTGCAGAAAAGCATTTTGATTTAAGGATTTTTTTGCAACATCTATTGGAGAGTTTTAAGTATTTCAATTTTAGAGTTGTATATTTTGCTTTAAAGAGACCTAAATATAAAACTGTCTAAACTTGCACCCAGGGTTCCTCCACCCTCTGAGAGGAGAAGAGGAGGGGAGATGGGAGGAGAGACTCTGTGAGGTGGGGACTGGAAGGGGTGAGCTCTTATTGGGATGTAAAATGAAGGAATAAATAAATTAATGGAAAAAAACTTTCTAAACTAAGTGGCTTTAGGGGACAGGTCAGTCAGCAAGGTTCTTGCTTTGAAAGCACATGGACTTGAGTTTAATCATCATAACCCATGCAAACCAAAGCAAGCAAGCAAGCAAGCAAGCAAGCAAGCAAGCAAGCAAGCAAG